GATATTTTTTGATTGATAATTTTTAATATATTTTTTTAATAAATTTTTTTAAATATATTTTTTTGATTGATATTTTTTAATATATATTTTAAAAATGATTATTATATATTTATATTTTACGTAATTTCATCTATTATATATCTTTTGATAGATAATTTTTTAGGTAATAGTGACAAATGTCATAATCGTAATTTTTGTACTTTTTTGTGTTTTTTTAACCAAATAGATAAAAATATGTTTTGTAAATATGTTATTAATATTTCAGCAAATGGAAAAGTGACAATCGTTATCTTTGAAATTTTTTTAGATTTTTTAAAGTAAATGGGTAAAAATATGTTTTGTAAACATATTAAATTAATATTTCAGTGAAAGTGTACTATGGAAAAGTGACAATTGTCATAATCGTTATTTTTTTTGAGTTTTTTTAAAGTAAATGGGTAAAAATATGTTTTGTAAAGATGTTAAATTAATATTTCAGTGAAAGTGTACTATGGAAAAGTAACAATTGTCATAATCGTTATTTTTGAACTTTTTTGAGTTTTTTTAAAGTAAATGGGTAAAAATATGTTTTGTAAACATGTTAAATTAATATTTGAGTGAAAGAGTACTATGGAAAAGTGACAATTGTCATAATCGTTATCTTTGAAATTTTTTTAGATTTTTTAAAGTAAATGGGTAAAAATATGTTTTGTAAACATATTAAATTAATATTTCAGTGAAAGTGTACTATGGAAAAGTGACAATTGTCATAATCGTTATTTTTTTTTGAGTTTTTTTAAAGTAAATGGGTAAAAATATGTTTTGTAAAGATGTTAAATTAATATTTCAGTGAAAGTGTACTATGGAAAAGTGACAATTGTTTTTTTTGAAATTTTTTTAGATTTTTTAATGGGTAAAAATATGTTTTGTAAACATATTAAATTAATATTTCAGTGAAAGTGTACTATGGAAAAGTGACAATTGTAATAATCGTTATTTTTAAACTTTTTTGAGTTTTTTTAAAGTAAATGGGTAAAAATATGTTTTGTAAACATGTTAAATTAATATAGTGAAAGTGTACTATGGAAAAGTGACAATTGTCATAATCGTTATTTTTGAACTTTTTGAGTTTTTTTAAAGTAAATGGGTAAAAAAATGTTTTGTAAACATGTTAAATTAATATTTCAGTGAAAGTGTACTATGGAAAAGTGACAATTGTCATAATCGTTATTTTTAAACTTTTTTTAGATTTTTTAAAGTAAATGGGTAAAAATATGTTTTGTAAACATGTTAAATTTATTTTTCAGTAAAAGTGTACTATGGAAAAGTGACAATTGTCATAATCGTTAATTTTAAACTTTTTTTAGATTTTTTAAAGTAAATGGTTAAAAATATGTTTTGTAAACATGTTAAATAAATATTTCAGTTAAAGTGCACTATGGAAAAGTGAAAATTGTCATAATCGTTATTTTTGGACTTTTTTGAGTTTTTTTGAGGAATAGATAAAAATATGTTTTGTAAACATATTAAATTAAAACTTCAGTTTAAATATGTTTTACATTTTTAAGTCACTAACAGTAATATCAACAATAAAATTCCTAAATTCGCTTTTATTTATATATTCAAAATTAATGATGAGTAATTTTCCTGCAAATCGCTATTCCTTCATTAATAAAACATTTATCACTTCAAATGATAATAAATTTCACTATTATGATTAAACTCTAATCTTCATAACATCCGGAAATGTTTTTTTAATATAATTTAGTAGGCCAATATAAGATTAAATTAATTGTAAGATTAATTTATTTTTCCCTAAAATGTTAACTATGAAATATATTTAAATATAGAATCCAACATCGGTTATTTGTATATCAACTAACTATATTATCTTTGATTTATTTATTTCAATTCTGTGAGTAAATACATTTTAAATATTTATTCACTTTAGTGAATGATCTGAAATTACAAGTTAGAGCTACTATTGTAATTTAAATCTATCAAAGTATTAAATAGCTTTTCGAAAATGAATATAATTACAAAATTAATTTTAGCATTTTCAAAGTTAGCCCTCATATTTATATTTATTTTAAACAATCACTAAGATTATACACCAAACATTCTAAGTTTTTTTCGAACATAATTTTACCTATTTACCTTAAAAAAACTCAAAAAAGTTCAAAAATTAAGATTATGACAATTGTCACTTATCCATAGTACACTTTCACTGGAATATTAATTTAACATGTTTACAAAACATATTTTTGCCCAATTACTTTAAAAAAACTTAAAAAAGTTCTAAAATAACGATTATGACAATTGTTACTTTTCCATAGTACACTTTCACTGAAATATTAATTTAATATGTTTACAAAACATATTTTTACCCATTTATTTAAAAAAACTCAAATAAGTTTAAAAATAACGATTATGACATTTTCACTTTTCTATAGTACACTTTCACTGAAATATTAATTTAACATGTTTACTTTTACCCATTTACTTTAAAGGTTCAAAACCCATTTACTTTAAAAAAATTCAAAAATGTTCTAAAATAACGATTATGACAATTGTCACTTTTCCATAGTACACTTTCACTGAAATATTAATTTAATATGTTTACAAAACATATTTTTACCCATTTATTTAAAAAAACTCAAATAAGTTTAAAAATAACGATTATGACATTTTCACTTTTCTATAGTACACTTTCACTGAAATATTAATTTAACATGTTTACTTTTACCCATTTACTTTAAAGGTTCAAAACCCATTTACTTTAAAAAAATTCAAAAATGTTCTAAAATAACGATTATGACAATTGTCACTTTTCCATAGTACACTTTCACTGAAATATTAATTTAATATGTTTACAAAACATATTTTTACCCATTTACTTTAAAATAACTCAAAAAAGTTCAAAAATAACGATTATGACAATTGTCACTTTTCCATAGTACACTTTCACTTAAATATTAATTTAACATCTTTACAATATATATTTTTACCCATTTACTTTAAAAAAACTCAAAAAAGTTCAAAAACAACGATTATGACAATTGTCACTTTTCCATAGTACACTTTCACTGAAAAATTAATTTAACATGTTTACAAAACATATTTTTATCTATTTGGTTTAAAAAAACTCAAAAAAGTTCAAAAATTACGATTATGACATTTGTTACTATTACCTAAAAAATTATCTATCAAAAGATATATAATAGATGAAATTACGTAAAATATAAATATATAATAATAATTTTTAAAATATATATTAAAAAATATCTATCAAAAAAATATATTTAAAAAAATTTATTAAAAAAATATATAAAAAATTATCAATCAAAAAATATCAATCAAAATATATATTTAAAAAATATATTAAAAAACATCAATCAAAAAAATTTATTTAAAAAAATCATATAAACACTAAAAATTAAAAATATAAAAAAAAATATCAATCAAAAATATATATTTAAAAATATTAATTTAAAAAATCATATAACACAAAAAAAAATATAAAAAAAAATATCAACCAAAAAAATATATTTAAATAAAATATCAATCAAAAATATATATTTAAAAATATTAATTTAAAAACTCATATAACACAAAAAAAAATATAAAAAAAATATCAATCAAAAAAATATATTTAAAAAAATATATTAAAAAAACATAACACAAAAAATAAAAAAAATTAGCGATCAAAAAGAAAAATATCAATCAAAAAATATATTGTAACAAATTAAAATGTATTTTAAAAAAAATATCAATCAAAAAATATATTGTAACAAATTAAAATATATTTTAAAAAAAATATAATATTAATCTTAAAAAATTATTAATAATAACGAAAAAATTATTAATAATATAATATTACAAAAATTACACATTGCCTGATTTAACCCGGCAATGTGCACATTATTGCCTGGTTATTTCGGCAATGTATAATTTGCCGAAATAACAAAATTACCCTGCCTACCACTACCTCACATTGCCGAAAAAATCAACATTTAATTTAGGTAACTAACGGTATCTCGGAGAAATTTTTCATCTTTTTTTATAAATTTATTTTTTATTTATTTTTAATTTATTTTTATTTATTGTTGTTATTTTTAATTATAGCTTTTTTAAAAGACCATAATTATAATATTATAATGGAATATCTTATTTTTACCGATAATAAATTGTTATACAAGTATGTATAAAACTATTTTTGTTTTTCCTTTAAATTATATATCTCTATATTATCATTGTTTATTGAAATAAATTGGTTAATCATCTAGAATTTGATTGAAAATTTAAGAAAAAAAATTATATATATAACTATATTATCAGTGTTTATTCAAATAAATTGGTTATTTATCTAGAATTTGATTGAAAATTTCAAGAAAAAATCTTAATTCTCTAGTATATTATGATTATATTTTTATCTTAAATATTTAGTATTTGATTCAAAATTTTAAATTAAATTGAAAATTTTTAGAATGAATCTTAAATAATTGAAAATTTCAAGAAAAAATCTTAATTCTCTAGTATATTATGATTATATAGTTTTAGAAAATTTAAATTTTAAGAAAAAAATCTTAAATATCTAGTATTTGAAAAATTTTAAATGAATCTTGAATAATTGAAAATTTTAAGAATAAATCTTAAATAGAATCTTAAATAATTGAAAATTTCAAGAAAAAATCTTAATTCTCTAGTATATTATGAATATCTAGTTTTATATATTTTTATATTTATTAATAAAAAAAATAAATAAAAATAAAAAAAAATAATAAAAAAAAATAATAAAAAAAATATTTAAAAAAAACAATAAAAAAAATAATAATATCGAAAATTTCCCCGAGATACCGTTAGTTACCCAAATTTATTAAAATAAAACTATAATAAAATTAAAAACGGATATTTATTGATAGTTTTAATATTTAAAATTTACTAAAAAAGATATTTTATCTAAAAATTCTGTAATTTCAGAAGTTCTTTCATATATTTGTATTAAATTAATGATGGGTTGATCAATTCTTTCATATTTTCTATTTCTATGCCGAACTGTTGATCCATTGTTGATCTGAATAATTTTGAGGTCGTTATAGTGTTGATGGTTTACCAAAATTTTTATAAGAAGATAAACATTTGGGTGAGCATGTGCCGTCTTTCTCTTTAAGGCATGATGAAATCCCTCCAAATGGTTATTGGTGCGGGGACCTTCGACTTTATATCTAAATAAATATAAAAAAATTTTATGAATTTATTAATTATGTTTTAAATACCTTGTCCATATGTCATGGGGAAATATGGCATTATGGTTTAGCCATGTCATATCCATATACTCCATAAAATTTAGGAGCATGGGATTTTCATACGACATCGCATAGCAATTTTGCCTAACTCGAAATATGTCCTCGTCTTTACAAAAGGGCAAAGTTGTCATGCGACTTACAACTTTGTGAACATTCGAATGGTTCAAATACAGGCTCACCAACCTAAAAGATTGGCATCTGCACCATAAAGCTTGGGAATAATGGAAAAAGCAACCTAAACAAAATTATATTAGAATATAAATCATAAACTTGAGAGCTGATATAGCAGCTGCCTCAGAGTCTGTTTGGCCAAATCTAGGGTTTAAAGATATTTGGCATTCAGAACAAAAATTAACAATTTGAAAAATGTGTCCCTAGTTTTATCTGGTAGTAGTGCATAAATGAAGGGTATCATAACCTCTTCGTACATAACATGAAAGGTATATAATTGATAAAATAACGTAGGAGCTACATGGAGAGTTCCATCCATGTAGATCATGTCCGAACTTGAGGCCATACGCAACATGGAATCAGTGCCAAAAATATATAAGTTGCCTGTTCCATGGATTAAAAATCGTTCATTACGAGTTGTCGTAGAATATTCTGCAGTTAACTCAATCTCAGAAATCGATTGAGGCATAGGGGGCTGTATTTAATAAGAAGTCTGTCTATGTGACTTCTCAGGGATATAAATGATGGTATGGCCTCAGGATAGTTTTCTATTTCTGGGTTCTCCATACATCTTTTATCCATTGTTTGTTGATATATTTAACCGAGTCTCCAAGGGATTGTAGGCTATTATGTTTTCGAGTGCTTCTTTAGTTTTAAGCATCTCGAAGGCCCCTATTTCAAATACATGATCATGTATACCAGAGACTGTGTATGCACCCTCATATATACATTTAGCATGGCAATCTCCTACTCTGCATCGATATTTTATAAATTCCCCATTTTGGGAGTGAAATCTATACATATAGTTTTGAAAGAATAGTAATATTTTCCCCTTTTGACTCTTGACAAAACGAGCTTCTAGTTAATTAAAAATAATATTAATACAATTTATTATAATTATTTTTTACCATAAATATTTGAATTTAAGTCTAATAAAGTTTGTGCTATGTCAAGAGGGGAATCTAGATTTGTGTAGGCACTATGGGAGAAACTTGTGGTTCCAAATGTGGAATACCATTGGATGAAACTAGATTATAAAGAAAATTGTCAAATTAAGAATATCAGGCACTATGGGAGAAACTTGTGGTTCCAAATGTGGAATACCATTGGATGAAACTAGATTATAAAGAAAATTGTCAAATTAAGAATTTTTAAAATTTTTATTTACTTTAGATGAGGTACTCGTACCCTAAATAAATTATTAAATTATTTCCATTTTGAGTTTTCTTAAAATTAAAAAAATTTATAAAACAATATTACTTCAAATTTAATATTTTGAATCTTAAGGTAATATTCCAAATTATTGGCAACAGTGGCTACCATCTATAAATATTTGTATTATTTTTTAAAATTTATTAAGAAAATATAAATCTATATTAAATCAGTGCTATTATAATTATTAGAGTAATACATATAAATTATATTGTTACTGTTAACAATTGTAAAAATGGAATATCAAGATCACTCATAATGTCAAATATAGTATTGATAGTTTAAGCTTAATTGATTTAATATTATTAAGTCAATGACATATGTCATTGTATTAAGTTATTTTACAATCTTAATTAATTAAATATAATCATTTATTAATTGAAAATAAAATTAATCCAATTTAATGGTGTGATTTGTGTTGTCAAGTTCAATATCAATAATCAACTAAATCACTCTTTTTTAAATTTAAGCCTTTAAGAAAATTTCTAAAATTTAAATCAGTATCCAAAACTTCTTAGTGAAAATTCTAACTATATTTGATTAATACATCTTTATAAATTATATTATGATCATTAAGTTCAATATCAAAATTTAAGCCTCTAAGAAAATTTCTAAAATTTAAACCAGTATACAAAACTTCTTAGTCAAAGTCAGTATTCAAAACTTCTTAGTAACTATATTTAATTAATACATCTTTATATATTATATTATGATCATTAAGTTCAATATCAAAATTTAAGCCTCTAAGAAAATTTCTAAAATTTAAACCAGTATACAAAACTTCTTAGTCAAAGTCAGTATTCAAAACTTCTTAGTGAAAACTCTAACTATATTTAATTAATATATCTTTATAAATTATATTATGATCATTAAGTTCAATATCAAAATTTAAGCCTCAAAGAAAATTTCTAAAATTTAAACCAGTATACAAAACTTCTTAGTCAAAGTCAGTATTTAAAACTTCTTAATGAAAACTCTAACTATATATAATTAATACATCTTTATAAATTATATTATGATCATTAAGTTCAATATCAAAATTTAAGCCTCTAAGAAAATTTCTAAAATTTAAACCAGTATACAAAACTTTTTAGTCAAAATCGAAACTATCCTTATAAATTATATTACAATCATTAATAAAAATCCCTGTTAAACTTAAAACTAATATATTACTTGCACTTTTAATTTTTCCTCGCTTCAGATATGGCGGCCATTTTTTGAATATGTTATTAGAAGACGTTTTAAAACATACACAATTTATGCTATTTTGAGCAATGCTATTTAGTGGTCAACCGATGTATTCGCTTTAAAGGTTTCGCTATAAAATTTTCGCGATTATTGATTCGCGATAAAAGTTTCGCGGTAATGTATTCGCTGCAAATGTTTCACGATAAAGATTTAACTATAAAATTTTCGCCATTATTGATTCGCGATAAAAGTTTCGCGGTAATGTATTCGCATTAAAGGTTTCGCTATAAAAAATTCGCGATATTTGTTTCGCGATATTGTATTCGCGGTAATGTATTCGCTATAAAGGTTTCGCGATAAAGGTTTCGTTATAAAGGTTTCGCTATAAAAAATTCGCGATATTGCATTCGCGGAATAGTATTCGCTATTATGGATTCGCGATAAAAGTTTCGCTATAAAATCCATTCGCGATAAACGACATTCGCGATAAAAGTTTCGCGAAAAAGTGTTTCGCGATAAAAGTTTCGCTGAATTGACATGGAACCTATATTTTAATACATGATATGTATGAAATGTCAATATTATGATATGTATGAAATGTCAATCAAAAGTGATCTTTTGAAGGAGTTGGGTTGTAGTTAAAATCATATGATCTTTTGTTCAAGAGTTTATACTTAATATGTTTATATTATGATTATGATTGTAAGATTAATATAATTAATGTGAATAAAGTAAATTTTTATGATGCATATATTTGTTTGTATATTTTAGAGTATGTGTTAGTTGTTTAAAATTTTAGATGTATAAAATTGGTGCCGTGACCAGGGTTGCCAGGTCAAAATTTTCAAATTGTGGGAGAAATTCGGTATTTTGTGGGAGTAATATAAAAATTGTGGGAGAAATATGAAAATTGCTAAAAAAAAAATTTTGCGGGCCCTTAGTTATCCGCTTATTATTTTTTATAAATATAAAATCGAATCTATTTCCCAAAATAAAATGGTAATTATTTTTCAAAATAAAATAGCCAACTATTTTTCAAAATAAAATAGCCAACTATTTTTCAAAATAAAATAGCCAACTATTTTTTAAAATAAAATAGCCAACTATTTTTCAAAATAAAATAGCCAACTATTTTTCAAAATAAAATATCCAACTCTTTTTCAAAATAAAATAGGTAACTATTTCCCAAAATAAAATGCGCAACTATTTTTCAAAATAGGTAATTATAGTACATAGTGAAGGTCACGGTCCGGTCTTTGGTCCGGACTAGACCGATACCCTCGAACCGGACCACGATCCTTAAAAAAAGATCGATCCAGACCGTGGTCCTAAATAAAAAGACCGGTCCAGGACCGGTTTTTTATTTGTTTAAAAAACATATTTTTTTTAACCTAATTTAATTTATTTTATCATATTATTAAATATAAGAGTATTATATAAACAATATAAAATTAATTATGAATAATATAATAATTAATACAAATATTTAATTTAAATAAATGCTAATGTCTTTGTTTGTAGAACTTCCTTGGAAGGAATTAGAAGAGGGACTTAATGGAGGCGGTAGATCTATTCCATTCTTTAACCAAGAGCCCATACACATCAAAGCTTGTATTGTTTGAAAGCCTATTCCTTTTTTTAGTGACAAGATCCTGCTTTCGAAAATATTTGTTCACAGGGGACAGATGTTGCTTGAATTGCTAAAAAATTTCTAGCTGCTAATGAGAGGACTGGAAATCTATATAATAAACTATATTGACTATTTAAAAAATATAAAGGACCTTTCACTATTGGCTTTCCACCATACTAATATGTCATCCTTTAATGAAACAAGAGGTTCATTCAAATAGATGTGAAGTTCTGATATATTTTCTTAAATGATTTCTGCCGATATATAATCCCCTTCTGAATTTCTTTTTTGAGATAAAATTCTTTCTAAAAAACTAAATTCATTGATTTCCTCCTGGCACAAATGTTTGAAAATTAGGATTTAATAAATAAATATTAAAAATATACCTGAGAATCCGTTATTCCTGTATTTTTTTTATTTTCTATTTTCCTTAAATAGTTTGAAAATTTGGTCATATACTCAATTCTATTAAGAGTATTAGGCATGTAAACTTGTTTTAATCTCGGATCCAATAATGTTGAGACATATGATTCATAGCAAAATAATTCTTTGAGATATTTCTGCACTTTAACCAGCATGTTATTAAGAATTTTTTTTCTTGTATTGTTATTATCCTTTTTTATATTATTTAAAATTTCATTATTTATATTCTCCATATATAACATGGAAATCCCAACTGTAGGATATTTGGATCCTGATAAATCAAGTATGGTTTTATAGAAGGGCCTTAGAAAATCTACAGCATCTTTAAGGTCTTCATTTTCACACTCAGTTAAGAAAACCCCTTTAAATTGTTTGTAATTCAAAAAAGTACTTCTTTTATAGCATCCAATGTTCTAAAAATTAAATATTTTTTAAAAATAATTGGATAAAAATGTAAATACCTCATAAATTGTATTCATAATTAAATAGGAGCTATTCCATCTAATAGGGATATCAGAAGGGATTTTAAATTTTTACCCTTATTTTCACATATTTGTACATATGCTTGATTTATTTTGGGTGATTTATTTATAGAAAAGACTATGTCTCTACACTTTTCTAGGATAGTTGTAATATATGATAAACCTTCCTGAGATATTAGGTTTAAAATATGGGCACAGCATCTAAAGCCTTTAAATTTTTGTTCCTTATAAATATTCTGCAAAATGCTTTTTAGGATGTTATTGGCATTATCTGTAGTACAGGCCAGTATATTCTCCTCCAATTGATATACATCAATTACTTCTTTTATAGCTAAGGATATTTCTTCAGAAGTATGAGGAAATGGGATATGATTTATATCAAGTAAAATATTTTTTAAAAAGAAGAATAATGTGCAGTAATGGCTATAAATGAAATTTTATTTATATTGCTCCACATATCTGTGGTAAAGCTTATTAAAGAATTATTTTTATTTAAAATATCTTTTAGAGAATTTCTTAGTTTCTCAAAATTAGCTCTATAAAAATTTTTAATTTTGTTTTTCAAATTGTAGCAGTTGAGTTTAAATATTTGATTAAATTATGAAGACCTGAACTTTCAAAAGTCTTCATTGGCAGAGAGTCCATTATTACCCATTTTATAATGAGTTGGTTCATATGATCTGTTTGGAATTTATCCAATGGTATTGAAGAAAGTGATTTTGTACTTGTGGAGGGCATATTTAAATTAAGAGTAGATTGTGTTTTTGAGATATTTTCATTTTCATTATTAGAAGTATAAATTTTATGTTTTATCAAATGTCTGCTTAAGGTACCTAATTATTTTATTAAGAATAAGGTTAAATTATTTTGACAATGAATTATTCAGACAGTTTCTTAAGAAAAAATAGATATATAAATAATAACCAAAATATTTTAATAATACTGCTTATTTTGATTAATTTATTGCTTAAAAAATTATAAACAATTATTTTGTTACTTTGACGATATGTTAAATTTGGTATTACAGTGAACACATATTCTATGTTTTTTATTAGGACTATAATTAAAATGTTTCTTGGACAAACTTATGGTTTTCAAATTGTAAAAAAAAAATTAACAAAATCTAAAATAACTCCTACAGAGTTGTAAAAAGATCTAGATACAAGTATCTAGATATAAAAATGTGGTATATGTATATGTATGTAGATAGATTTTTGATTAAAATATCGGTATCTAGATACTTTTTAGACGATGTGTCTGTATCTAGATCCATTTAAAAAGTATCTTATAACAACTCTGAACTCCTATCATAAAATATACAAAAAAATTATATTAATTGAATAATAAAGTAAACTTAAATATTAATAAATACCGGTCCGGACCACGGTCCTCAACAAAAAGATCGGTCCGACAATCGGTCTGGTCCGGTCGACCTTCACTAATAGTACGACACAAAATTTCTTAAATACTATCTTTATTATTAAAATAACATATTGATTTATTATAATATATTAATTTTTTAAAAATAATAACCAACGATCTTTTTTAAATACAAAAGAATGTAAACAAGATAAAATTTTATAAAAAAATTGTAATTTTACATTGTAAAAAAATATATTTTATGCTAATGTATAAATAAGATTTTATAAAAAAACAAACAATTTTAAATTTACAATGTAAAAAATAATTATAATCAGTGCGGGGAAGTTGTTCTACAGTATTTAGTTAATACAATGGGGGAAGGGAATATGATATTTTGAGGCATCAAAAATATTCAAAGCATAAATCAGTACAGGGCAGTTTATCAACATCTATTGCAAAACAAAAATATTCTTCAAAAATAAGAAATAATACAGATGCAACTACAGTTGCGGAAATGGTAAATACCTATCATGCAGTACAATATTCAGAAAGCTACTTAACATTACAATGTTGGTAGAATCTTTCCCCATAATATTTAACGACTAATATAAATGAAAAGTATACTTTGTAGAACACAAATGAGCAAGGCTATCATCAATGTTTTAGGATATAAATCCAGAAGATCAATTCTTGACGATTTGAAAGATGTGCAAACATATGCAATTCTAACAGATGCATCTAATAAGGAGATATCAGAACATTTCCCTTGATCCTCCCCTATTTCAACAAAATTAATGTCATTTCAATAAAACTATTAAAAAAATTTTCTCCAGATATGAAATATCCAAAGACATAGCTAACCATATATAATGGTAAATATGGCAGATTTGGCATTACCAATGAATTGCATGGCAGCTTTCTGATCTGATAATTCCTCAGTGAATTTGGCAAAAAACCAGAGTGTTTTTACAGAATTGAGTCAGCATAAGGTTGGTTGACAGGTTCCTCCTAATACGCGCCATCGTAGAATTTTAAAATTTTACAAACCTTTAAAAAATAAATAGATTATAAAAGCTGTCCTAATATTTTGAAAAAAATTTTCAAAAATAAATGGCAAGAAGT